CGCCGTGCGCAGCGGGAAGCAGGGCCCGAGGGAAGGAGCGCCGGAGCCTGCCCATGTGCTCAGCGGGGTCCCACGCGGTCCCTCCGCCCTGGGCTGGTGGGAAGGAGCCGGGAGAGCTCGGTGCACGCAGCCCCTTCGAGCGGGCAGGTGAAAGGGAATATTTCAGCAGGTGTGTGGCCCCCAGCCCACTGCACCCCTGTGCGGTCTGGCCGGGGCTGCTCGTGCATGCCATGGGGTCAGGAAGCCTCCGTGGGTGCTCTGGAGAGGTGATGCCGACTGGGGCTTTGGGCGCATCTTTTTTCGTCCTTGAGCATCACAGATATTTCGGATGGGTGGGGAGGAAGGTCACTTTTCCGAAGTGTCCCTCCTCTGTGCCCCTGGGGCAAGGTCATTGTTCCCAGACTGGTGCAGAGAGATGGTGGCTTCAGGCTGTCCTTGTTGGGGAGGGGAAGGGCACGGGCACATCAGCCTGTCATGACCCCGCTGCTCCTCTCCCTTCGTGGGACGCACCTGACAGGCGCGGGGGCAGCACAGGAGCATTTTAGCTGTAAACCAGCGTGTTGCTCCATGTTTACCAGTCCAACCTCTGTGTTCCTGGCACAGGACATTCCTACCACAACCCTTGTCCCCATAATCTTGCTTACACGTTCAGCACACCTCCTCTGCTGGGAATCCCTGCTGACCTCCCTGCGGCTCTCCCAAAGGACACATGGCTCCTGAGGGGACCTGCAGGGCTGCATCCAGGGCTCAGGGCTTTCCTGCTCTGGGACCTCAAGCATGGGGCAGGGCAGCAGAGTGGAGGGCTGGCAGGAAGGCACAGCATCCTTGGGCAGCTCTTTGTAGCTAGTCCCAAAGGTGAGTGCCCTTTCACAGCGCAAATGGGCTTTTGAGACCCACTTATTTAAAATACATACATTTAAAAGTTGTGAGTTTACACACATTTGCATCTGTGCTTGCAAACACAGGTGGGCTCTGTGCAAGGTGGGAGAATGGCTTTTCCCCAGGGCCAGCAGCCCCCCTGATCCCCTGCGTCCTCCCCGCAGCCTGCCCGGCCATGGCAGCCTCGCTGAGCCGCCCCTGCTTCATCTCCCTGCACCTGCCCTACAGGCAGGGCTGGGCCCAGCACCTGGCCAACACCTTTCGCTTCCAGCCAGTGGCCGTGCGGGAGACGCCGCGTGTCCGGCAGCTGGCCTTGCAACGGGAATCTGCCATCTTCCTCGTCAACGAGCGCCTGGCACCTGCCAGCACCTCATCCCGTGATTTCCTCTATGACATAGACCCCCAGCCCACCTTGGGCACAGCCTCCAACGTCTGCTTCGAGGTGGATGATGTGCCAGGGCTCTGCAAGCGGCTGCAGAGCCAGGGATG